TGATTCTCTGGGTGCCATGTGCAGGGGGGGGGGGGTTGGGCAACCACCTAGATGTCTTGTCCAGTAAATAGACAAAAAACAGGGTCATTCTGGATTGGTGCTCGCGGTGCCCTGGAGGACCTCAGCCTGATTGTCAGGCACTCCAATACACAGGTGGCTGATTTACCTTCCTGTCCATACAGCCCTTGGAATAACACAGCTCTGCCATACAGCACAGTCCTGTCTGGCAGGGAAGGAGACCTGTTTTTTTCCCCCACTGCTGCAGTTCAGTAACACTGACAGGTCTTGCCCCTCCCCCAGCCTGTGATTGGACAGGGAAAGTTGAAGCAGCAGATGGATGGGATCATCTTTCTGTCACTGTGCTCTCCTCTCCTATCAGCATGTTCCTCGTTGGCACATGAGAAATGACACACAGCTGATTGGTGCCTCGTGCTGCTTCTCCCTTCCCCCAGTCTGAGCTCTGCTGTACAGGGCACTGTAAGAGAATGATACGGGCTCAGGTACTGACACTGTCTGTAATATGTGCCCGGAGGGTCCGGTATGTGATGGGTGCATGACGGCCATTTTGGTTTCTTGTTCCAGCTGCGAGGATTATATGAAGAAGATCGAGTGTTTCTATCAGTGCTCCCCGCTGACCGCGCACTGGGCGCACCCCAACATCTCAGTGGCCATCCAGAGCGTGCCGCTGTGCCGGAACTTCTGCGACGGCTGGTGAGTGGAGAGCGGGCACCGGGCCGGATACAGAGACGGGGGAGGTAAAGGCCGAGACCTGAGTGCGGGCAGAACGTGTCCCTTCCACATGACGGGTCTGAGATAAGAGACGGAACCGGGCCCGCCCCCCCTCATAAACCAAGTGCCAGGGCAAGATCCTGTGCACCAGTATAGATCCCAGTGGCCCCTGCAGTCACCAGAATAGATCCCAGTGGCCCCTGCAGGCACCAGTATAGATCCCAGTGGCCCCTGACCACACAGGAAATGAAGGGAAATCTCTCCAGTGGAGATGCAGTACAATGGTGGCAGAGGCTGTCGTTGGGTCGAATCCTCTTCATTGTGCAGTATTAGTGGACGTTGTGCATGCCGGGCAGCACTCACTGCCGTCACCTGAAATACATTGTGTGTCTCACGTTCAGGTTTGAAGCATGCCGGGCGGATTTGGTTTGTGCGCACAACTTCATCACTGACTGGACGTACGATGAGAGCGGAAACCAGTGTAAGAATGACTGCGTCCCCTACAGCAAGGTAATCACACCATACCGGCACTGACCACACCATACCGGCACTGACCACACCATACCGGCACTGATCACACCATACCGGCACTGATCACACCATACCGGCACTGATCACACCATACCGGCACTGACCACACCATACCGGCACTGATCACACCATACCGGCACTGATCACACCATACCGGCACTGATCACACCATACCGGCACTGATCACACCATACCGGCACTGATCACCCCATACCGGCGCTGACCACACCATACCGGCACTGACCACACCATACCGGCACTGACCACACCATACCGGCACTGACCACACCATACCGGCACTGACCACACCATACCGGCACTGATCACACCATACCGGCACTGATCACACCATACCGGCACTGATCACACCATACCGGCACTGACCACACCATACCGGCACTGATCACACCATACCGGCACTGATCACACCATACCGGCACTGATCACACCATACCGGCACTGATCACACCATACCGGCACTGATCACACCATACCGGCACTGATACACAGCTCCGGCCCATCTCTCATCATTTGGCTTTGCTGATATTGAGCCTTAGGAAACATCCGGCATGCTGCTTCTTTGGTCTTCGGTATGTTCAGTGGTACACGCACACGCAGCACGCACACTGAACATTTCTGTGAAGAATCAGATTATAAGAATCTCGTGTAACTTTCTCCTGCCGGCAGCACATTGCAGTAACGATAGGTGAAGATGCACATACATTGCGTGTCACTGAAACACGTCTTGTTATGCGTGTGTTAACAACGTTCATTGCTGAGCGTTCCTAAAGAACTGTCCGCGTGATGCAATGCACATTATACACACATGCGTCTCTGCGGTGCATGATGGGCCCGCTGGACCGGCTGTACTTTATAAATATTTAATTACAGCAGCAGAGAAGATCCGTCTGCCGGGTCACGGCTGTGAGAGGAAATATTTGGCACAGGCATCATGAGACCGTCTCAGGACTTCTGATCATATATGAAGGACGGCTCCGGTGTAAACTGCGTCCTTGTGGGGAATCTTCCGACCGCACGGGAATAGCAGAGCAATGACTCAGCCACAGTGTACGGGAGTGTCATCCTGAGTCGGGGGTAGGGGGGCTCAGTACTCCTATACATGGCACTGCCCGTCCCTGACAAACATACTGACACGCGGCTGAGTCACGGGGTAGGGGGGCTCAGTACTCCTATACATGGCACTGCCTGTCCCTGACATACATACTGACACATGGCTGAGTCAGGGGGTAGGGGGGCTCAGTACTCCTATACATGGCACTGCCCGTCCCTGACATACATACTGACACACGGCTGAGTCACGGGGTAGGGGGGCTCAGTACTCCTATACATGGCACTGCCCGTCCCTGACATACATACTGACACACGGCTGAGTCTTGGGTTAGGGGGGCTCAGTACTCCTATACATGGCACTGCCCGTCCCTGACATACATAATGACACACGGCTGAGTCACGGGGTAGGGGGGCTCAGTACTCCTATACATGGCACTGCACGTCCCTGACATAAATAATGACACACGGCTGAGTCAGGGGGTAGAGGGGCTCAGTACTCCTATACATGGCACTGCACCTTCCCTGACATACATACTGACACACGGCTGAGTCACGGGGTAGGGGGGCTCAGTACTCCTATACATGGCACTGCCCGTCCCTGACATACATAATGACACACGGCTGAGTCACGGGGTAGGGGGGCTCAGTACTCCTATACATGGCACTGCCCGTCCCTGACATACATACTGACACACGGCTGAGTCACGGGGTAGGGGGGCTCAGTACTCCTATACATGGCACTGCCCGTCCCTGACATACATACTGACACACGGCTGAGTCACGGGTTTTTAATGACAGCAGGAGAGAAGAGCCGTCTGCCGTGTCACGGCTGTGAGAGGAAATATTTGGCACAGGCATCATGAGACCGTCTCAGGACTTCTGATCATATATGAAGGACGGCTCCGGTGTAAACTGCGTCCTTGTGGGGAATCTTCCGACCGCACGGGAATAGCAGAGCAATGACTCAGCCACAGTGTACGGGAGTGTCATCCTGAGTCGGGGGTAGGGGGGCTCAGTACTCCTATACATGGCACTGCCCGTCCCTGACATACATACTGACACACGGCTGAGTCACGGGGTAGGGGGGCTCAGTATTCCTATACATGGCACTGCCCGTCCCTGACATACATAATGACACACGGCTGAGTCAGGGGGTAGGGGGGCTCAGCTCCTATACATGGCACTGCCTGTCCCTGACATACATAATGACACACGGCTGAGTCAGGGGGTAGAGGGGCTCAGTACTCCTATACATGGCACTGCCCGTCCCTGACATGGTGTTAGGACTGTGCTGGGTCAGTGTTGGTGTTGAGCTTTCTCCAGGTGACCGCGGTGGAACATTCCAGGTCTCTGGAGAACATGTGACTGTGATTGCCGGATCGGTACCCGGTGCCGTGTGTGTTAAATTCATGAATTAGCGTGTAGAGATGATTAGAGTATTACTGAAATGCGGCTCAGCAGGTGTTAGCTGCTAATTGAGAGATTTCTTGATGTGGTGTGTGCGGCGCTCATTACTGAGGAAGCGATCCGATGAGCTGTGAAATGAAGGAAACAGAACCACCAGAATCTGACCCACTGGAGTTCTGGCCTCACACGCCGGCTGTCATCATAGGGATGTCTGCCACGGTCTTCACGTATGTTATCTGACAATGGGGTGCCGGCAGCACACAGGAAGTCCTCCCACAAATGTAACTTCTGTATTCTGCATTGTATTGATCTGCACTGTAGGAAAGACATAATGAGGGAACACGGCCTGAGAATACGCTATTGGCTCTCCTTTGTTACATTTACATATGATGCCCCGCCCACATCTGTAACATTGTGTCATGTCCCCCGGGATTATCATTCCTCCTCACACTCTATTGGCTGCAGTCTGTGTTACTCTGTCAGTTCATTTCTATCACAGCTGGCAGCAAATAACAGACATGTAACCAGGGCCGGAATTACTCTCTCTGCTTCCCCAAGGCCAGGTTCCTCAATGCGCCCCTCTACTCCCTGCCGCCCCTCTACTCCCTGCCGCCCCCCTACTCCCTGCTGCACCAAGGGCCTTGTGGGAAATCTGACCCTGCATTTAAGTGTATGAGGCACACACTGGTTTCATAGACACTGCCGAGAACACCTCATATCTCTGGGAGGAAGAAATGTGCCCTTCGCAAACTAACTGGAAGAGAGAATTGTCAGCTTATCCTTATTGGTCTGACATTGGACTGCTCCGGGGTCACAGGCCACCGAGTGACATACGAGGCGGTTGTCATACCAGTCTATTTGTAGTCACCTTTCGGACTGCGAGAGATTTGTAGTCACCTTTCGGACTGCGAGAGATTTGTAGTCACCTTTCGGACTGCGAGAGATTTGTAGTCACCTTTCGGACTGCGAGAGATAATCGGCTTCATCTCATAGAAACACTTGTGAGAAAAAAGACAAATGTTTACAGCATTTTGTTACTTGCACGAAGCAGAACATGTCACATTCCTCACCCCCGTGTTATGCTATAAATATCAATGCGCTCACAAATATTCACATGTTCCGCTCGCATCAAATGGAGAAATCAGTCTGCTGCTTGTGACGCTCGGCATGCAATGTGAGACAGATGTGAGCTCTGGGTGGAGCGCGCAGAACTGGGGCGGCACCGAAATATACAGATGTGTCCCGTTCATTCATCAAGCGAGCAGATAGTATATATACTATGTCCCCATTCATGAATGATCACAATGTGATGTATAGCACTTCCTGTTCATTCATAACGGGGGACATAGTAATCACTATGTCCTCACTTATTTATGTGCTCCACTCTCCATCCTGACTGCTCCACCCCCTCCCGCCTGTCATTGGAGCTGAGCTCTGCTCCTCGCACCACCCTGCTTGTCCTCCTGACAGCTTCTCTTCTCCCCGATGGGCACCGGCAGCTGGATCAGCTCTGTGTCCACTCCAATCCCTGCTGCTTCTGCTGACACAGGCAGAGGAGGGAGAGGATAGATCATGGCAGAGGACGGGGAGGCTAGATCATGGCAGAGGACGGGGAGGCTAGATCATGGCAGAGGACGAGGAGGATAGATCATGGCAGTGGACCTGGAGGATAGAGCATGGCAGAGGACGGGGAGGCTAGATCATGGCAGAGGACGAGGAGGATAGATCATGGCAGTGGACCTGGAGGATAGAGCATGGCAGAGGACGGGGAGGCTAGATCATGGCAGAGGACGAGGAGGATAGATCATGGCAGTGGACCTGGAGGATAGAGCATGGCAGAGGACGGGGAGGCTAGATCATGGCAGAGGACGAGGAGGATAGATCATGGCAGTGGACCTGGAGGATAGAGCATGGCAGAGGACGGGGAGGCTAGATCATGGCAGAGGACGAGGAGGATAGATCATGGCAGTGGACCTGGAGGATAGAGCATGGCAGAGGACGGGGAGGCTAGATCATGGCAGAGGACGAGGAGGATAGATCATGGCAGTGGACCTGGAGGATAGAGCATGGCAGAGGACGGGGAGGCTAGATCATGGCAGAGGACGAGGAGGATAGATCATGGCAGTGGACCTGGAGGATAGAGCATGGCAGAGGACGGGGAGGCTAGATCATGGCAGAGGACGAGGAGGATAGATCATGGCAGTGGACCTGGAGGATAGAGCATGGCAGAGGACGGGGAGGCTAGATCATGGCAGAGGACGAGGAGGATAGATCATGGCAGTGGACCTGGAGGATAGAGCATGGCAGAGGACGGGGAGGCTAGATCATGGCAGAGGACGAGGAGGATAGATCATGGCAGTGGACCTGGAGGATAGAGCATGGCAGAGGACGGGGAGGCTAGATCATGGCAGAGGACGAGGAGGATAGATCATGGCAGTGGACCTGGAGGATAGAGCATGGCAGAGGACGGGGAGGCTAGATCATGGCAGAGGACGAGGAGGATAGATCATGGCAGTGGACCTGGAGGATAGAGCATGGCAGAGGACGGGGAGGCTAGATCATGGCAGAGGACGAGGAGGATAGATCATGGCAGTGGACCTGGAGGATAGAGCATGGCAGAGGACGGGGAGGCTAGATCATGGCAGAGGACGAGGAGGATAGATCATGGCAGTGGACCTGGAGGATAGAGCATGGCAGAGGACGGGGAGGCTAGATCATGGCAGAGGACGAGGAGGATAGATCATGGCAGTGGACCTGGAGGATAGAGCATGGCAGAGGACGGGGAGGCTAGATCATGGCAGAGGACGAGGAGGATAGATCATGGCAGTGGACCTGGAGGATAGAGCATGGCAGAGGACGGGGAGGCTAGATCATGGCAGAGGACGAGGAGGATAGATCATGGCAGTGGACCTGGAGGATAGAGCATGGCAGAGGACGGGGAGGCTAGATCATGGCAGAGGACGAGGAGGATAGATCATGGCAGTGGACCTGGAGGATAGAGCATGGCAGAGGACGGGGAGGCTAGATCATGGCAGAGGACGAGGAGGATAGATCATGGCAGTGGACCTGGAGGATAGAGCATGGCAGAGGACGGGGAGGCTAGATCATGGCAGAGGACGAGGAGGATAGATCATGGCAGTGGACCTGGAGGATAGAGCATGGCAGAGGACGGGGAGGCTAGATCATGGCAGAGGACGAGGAGGATAGATCATGGCAGTGGACCTGGAGGATAGAGCATGGCAGAGGACGGGGAGGCTAGATCATGGCAGAGGACGAGGAGGATAGATCATGGCAGTGGACCTGGAGGATAGAGCATGGCAGAGGACGGGGAGGCTAGATCATGGCAGAGGACGAGGAGGATAGATCATGGCAGTGGACCTGGAGGATAGAGCATGGCAGAGGACGGGGAGGCTAGATCATGGCAGAGGACGAGGAGGATAGATCATGGCAGTGGACCTGGAGGATAGAGCATGGCAGAGGACGGGGAGGCTAGATCATGGCAGAGGACGAGGAGGATAGATCATGGCAGTGGACCTGGAGGATAGAGCATGGCAGAGGACGGGGAGGCTAGATCATGGCAGAGGACGAGGAGGATAGATCATGGCAGTGGACCTGGAGGATAGAGCATGGCAGAGGACGGGGAGGCTAGATCATGGCAGAGGACGAGGAGGATAGATCATGGCAGTGGACCTGGAGGATAGAGCATGGCAGAGGACGGGGAGGCTAGATCATGGCAGAGGACGAGGAGGATAGATCATGGCAGTGGACCTGGAGGATAGAGCATGGCAGAGGACGGGGAGGCTAGATCATGGCAGAGGACGAGGAGGATAGATCATGGCAGTGGACCTGGAGGATAGAGCATGGCAGAGGACGGGGAGGCTAGATCATGGCAGAGGACGAGGAGGATAGATCATGGCAGTGGACCTGGAGGATAGAGCATGGCAGAGGACGGGGAGGCTAGATCATGGCAGAGGACGAGGAGGATAGATCATGGCAGTGGACCTGGAGGATAGAGCATGGCAGAGGACGGGGAGGCTAGATCATGGCAGAGGACGAGGAGGATAGATCATGGCAGTGGACCTGGAGGATAGAGCATGGCAGAGGACGGGGAGGCTAGATCATGGCAGAGGACGAGGAGGATAGATCATGGCAGTGGACCTGGAGGATAGAGCATGGCAGAGGACGGGGAGGCTAGATCATGGCAGAGGACGGCGAGGATAGATCATGGCAGAGGACGGGGAGGATAGATCATGGCCGAGGACGGGGAGGATAGATCATGGCAGAGGACGCTGAGGATAGATCATGGCAGGGGACGGGGAGGAGCTGGGTGTGGATATCATGGAGAGGAAACGGTTTGTAGTATTTGGCAGCTGTGAGCGCCCAGAATAACATGGGGGGCAGCCAGCTCGGCGGTGTGCGGTAATGAGACGCAGAGAGCCAAGGACGGGTGCTTCTAGTTTAGACCTTAATATGCACTCTTGTGTTTATTCTTGTCCTCTGCGGTCCGGGGTCACTTCCGCAGCCACGTGTCTCTGCTCCCACGTCCGTAGGTGGCCACAGGACTGCTCAAGGCTTAAAGGATATCCACATAATCTGTTACTCGCCACCAGGTTTATGTGGATTGGAGCGACATTCCCCATGTTTATTCCCAGAGAATTTAGTACAAGTCATTCTGAATGGAGAAAGCTGGTCGGATGATCAGTGAAACATCTTCAAGAAAAATACAGCGAGTCCAGTTGCCTTGACTTATTTATTTTTTACAGATATACCATGTGACCCGGATGAATGAGAACCTTCACAGACATTATGATGGAAGTTTAATCTGTTTATATTCTGCCTTCTCTAGTTCCTCCCCTCCCTCGTCATCAACATGATAATGAAATTCCGCTTTCATTACATAATTTTGTAGTCCTGGTGATGTCATCACTGGGTCTCTGTGCTTCTCTATGCAATATATATTACAGAAGAGCCAAACAGAGTCCCACAAAGTCTCTTCCACCATTAAAGCCGACCTGCCAGAAATTTGTGGCTATAGTTCCTCTGTAACAATATAAAACTGAAGCTGGATTCTTTTCCTTCTCCAGTTGCCTTGGCTGCCATCATAATACATCCAAATATTTGTCGGGGATATTGATGAAAACGTTGCTCAATAATCACATTTTATAAGACTTGTTTGTGAATTGATACAAAATGTTGATTGTGTGACTTCCTCTCATCTCTCGGATTTCTCCTCTTCTTCCCCCGATAGATGTTTGCGAATGGGACGGACTTGTGTGAGAGCGCCTGGGGATCCTCGTTCGTGGTCAGCACTTCTCCATGTCGCTGTCTGGACATGACGGAGACGGACAGCAATGTCGTCAAGTACATCCTGGAGGGGGAGCACTCAGAGGAGAGCGGAGAAGAACAGGCCTGTAAGCCCCGCCTCCAGGGGCCCCCAAGAAAAAAGGATCCGGACCAGGATGATGAGGATGACTGAACACAGGTGCGTTATAATACATTTTGGAGTATTTTATTTTGTAGTGATGGTCAATGTAGATACTCCCAGCTCACCGATGTGCACCCGGACTGTGACAGGCAGCGGAGAAATGCACACGGCCATATAAAGATATGACAACTAATACGCAGGATCTTATTGGAAGAAGCGGGCAGCAAGATCCTGGTGAAAAAGTTCTCTTTACACTGTGCGTGTGTAATAGTTGTGTCACATTTACATCCATGTGTACAGTGAATAGCACAAAGGTTCCCTATTGGTTGCTAGGGTGCAGGGCGGATGCAATAGACTGCATTGGCACTGTACACATGCAAAGGTTTACATGCGTGCAGTTACATCGTTACATCGTTACATAGTTAGTCAGGTTGAAAAAAGACACAAGTCCATCGAGTCCAACCTATAGAGATACAAAGAAAAAAAAAAAAAAAGAAGAAAAGCCTAAACAGAACGCTCCGCCCACAGTTACCCCCACTGTTGATCCAGAGGAAGGCAAAAAAAACAAACCACCTATAAAGCACGGGGTTCAATTTGCTCCAACAGGGGAAACAATCCCTTCCTGATCCCATAAGGCAATCGAATATTCCCGGGATCAACAATCTCTGATGCCTCATATACCTCTAAGAACTCAATATCCAGTAATATTCTGTGCATTACGGAATACATCCAGATGGTTTTCTAAACCAATTAACCGAGCTCCTAGGGGAGTCTATTCCACATTGTCACAGCTCTAACTGTGAAGAATCCTTTCCGTATGCAAAGGTTAAACCTCCTTTCCTCCAGACGCAAAGGGTGCCCCCTTGTCCTTTGCAGCGACCTTAACGTGAATAATTTGGCACCAAGTTCTTTATATGGACCATTTATGTATTTATACCCGGTGATCATGTCCCATACCCCCCCTCCCCCCTTAATCGCCTCTTCTCCAGAGAGAACAAATTCAGGTCATCTAATCTTTCCTCATAGCTGAGCTCCTCCATGCCTCTTATCAGTTTGGTCCTTCGCTGCACTTTCTCCAGTTCCACAACATCCCTCCTGTGACCTGGTGCCCAAAACTGAACCGCATATTCCAGATGAGGTCTTACTAATGCTTTGTACGGGGGCGGGATTATGTCCCTATCTCTGGAGTCCGGAGACCCCATATAATACAAGGAAGGATGGAGACAGATGAGGTCTTACATAGTTACATAGTTACATAGTATTTGAGGTTGAATAAAGACATTAGTCCATCAAGTCCAACCTATTAGGATCTCATTCTAGGAGTACCCGTACCCCTGTATATTACCCGTACTTAA